CAGCAGGCACAAGATTATGATTGGATCAGCAAATGTGAAGGCCGCTTACAAAACAAATCAAAATTACATTAACAAATATAATATTGATAAAGCATCTCACTCACTGAATTGAAAGTTACAGATACATTTTAGTAAGTACAAACCTTAGACTCGTCAACCACGATGGGAAGATTTAGAAGATATTGCCCTGACTGTGCAACCTCAATTTCTTCATTAGTTGCAACCTTAAAATTACTCTTTTCCATCACCTGTATAACAATGGGAATTCTAAAAAATTCATACTAGCTGCTATAGTTGCAAATACTGTTTAGCTATTATTATACTTTCAAAAACAGATTACCCTTTTGAGGATTGTTTTGTGACAATAGCTCTTGTTTCTCTTCTCTTTTTCTTTATTATTTTTTTCCGGTTCTTTCGTGTTTCTTTCGGTTGTTGTATATGGGGCGGGCATATAAGGGGGAAAAAAAAAAGGAACAAGGTGAAGCAGCCAGAGAACCTGAAATAAGTACTTGAGGAAATTTTGTTCAAGTACATCAATTTCTTCAGGAGAAAGCTTTTGTTGCTCCAATTTCTGACTCCCGTGTACAGGGTCAAAGAGGGAATATAGTTGCTGTAAAGACAAGACGTGTTAAATAAAACTTAATTTGTGATAGTCAGTGGCCCAAAAAAAAATTTAAAACGATAATAATAATAATAACATGAGAAAATGAAATGAATCAAATTCTATATATGAATGTTCTGTGTGTCAATAGGGACCAGGAAACATGAAGGCTTACCATCAAATCTTCAAATTGTAGGAGATACCAAGCCCGAATTGTGTACTCGACTCTCTTGCAGAGCTTTAGAAACTCAGCCCGGTCAGAACTTTGTTCTGCAGAATATGGAAACTTGAGTTAAGTAGCATGATCAGCAAAGCTATTGTTTAGCAAAGATTACAAAAGTAGCAAGGCAGGCAATGGCATGAACACTGCCACAGTGGCTGCCACAACAACAAATATTTGAAGAAGAAAAGCAGAGAAAGTTGAAAAGGAAAAAGTAGGAACCGATGAGGTTGGCCAAGGTCATGATGAGTTTGGGCTTGAGAACTTGAATCACGGATTCACGCTCTAATCGAATCACCTCTTTCTTGTTGCCCATCTTCATCTTCTTTTTTTCTTTTTTGTCCGAAATGCCAATGCCGACGCACTCTGACCCTTACCTTCCTTCCTTCCCTTAAAAGAACCTTAACTCAAATCAAATCCTATCGGAAGGAGGATGGTTGGTTTGAGCCTCTGTTAGTATCATTAGCCTAATACTTAGTTTCATTCAGTCAGGCTTTTTCACAAGCACAGTGAGAAAGAGTGAGAGTGCGAGAATGAATGAGGCCGATCGGAAACACACAGAAACTCAATACAATGAAGGAGGAAGAGAGGAGCAAGCAACAGATGACAATATTAGAAAATCAAAGTTTAACTGCCGCATCTTTTTTCTCCGCTGTGACTCTGTAAAATTCGGACCCCTAAAATAATGCATCTCTCTCTCTCTCTCTCTCTCTCTCCCCGTTGTTTTAGTCGTCATGTCATTTTGTAAACTTACGCACGCTCTCTCTTGCGCGGGCGGGAATATCTCTTATCTTCATAGGACGACAATAGATTCTGTTTCATGTCAACCCGTCTAATTCGAAGAAAATACATTTATTAATCATGTTCTATTCTGTTAGTTTCTTTCTTCTATATAACTCCACAATTAATGGGATCATAACTTATTTGGGAGTTTTTTTTTTCGTTGGAACTTATTTGGGAGTTTGTAACCACATAAATAAATACGTTAAAATTTTAGGTTTGCAACGTCTTTTTTTTCTTCCTTAATAACAAGATGTTTAAAGTTTAATTTTAAAGAAGATCAATTTGTATTAATTGAATTTCAACATGGACCGTACATGACATAGGTATTCTGCATTCTGCTAGCAAATGTAGGTATTGTGTTGTTGTCCTACTAGCTGAGTCGTTGGCCCTTTCTTTTATGTGTATTTTCTATATTATCTCTTATCAAAGTTTTATTTCATACATTTCTCGTCAAAATTGTGTATGTGGCGAATCGAAATTCAATTTATATGGACGTCGGCAACGCTACACCACAAGGATATCAGCTCCCTTACGAACCAGAAAGAGCTATAGGTACAAACAATGCCTGCCGAATTTTGCAATAACCCATTTTTCATCTTTATAACTTTTTTTTTCGGGTGAAATCAAATCCAAATGGACCAAAAACAGAAACGGGTTCGCTTATGCTTGCGGGCTGGTGGTTGCTGGTCTGGTAGGAGGGAGTGTACTTCCTTCCTTCCTCAGTGTTGGATGCAATCCATCCATACTTGATACACTTCCATAGATGATAGAGCAAAAGCCAAACGTTTCAGATTTCAGCCACATCTTCATAATTCATTTTCATGTGTTTACAGCTTGGAATCCAGCATTATTCAGTGGAATTTGATACAGTTTCTTGGAAGTTCATTGTTAAAAACACTGCAAAACACTAGCTTCAGAAGATGATTGGTAAAAGCACTCAACATTCCACAAGAGACAGTGAGGAAGCGAGGGAGAGAGAGTTTGGAAATGCCCACGACCAAACTAATGGTATTCAAGAGAGATTGATTATATAAAAGCATTTGCCTCTAAAGAAACTTAAAAGCCTCCAAAATTATAGAAAAAGTTCTCTCAAGAACACAAAAGGATAAAGAAATCCCAATGAAAAATAAAAATTCAATTTATAACTAACAAATTAGAGATACCTGGAATTGTCCAATAATTCCATGACTCCCCTGCTATCTGTCTGCCCATCTAACATATATACATGGTGTAGAGTTGGCCCTCGTATAGGTATGTACAAAAACCTATCACCAGCTCTGCACTTTTGTCTTCTGTGAATCTCCAGTAACCTCACATCTCTTGCCCTCCAACGGAATCTCAAAATATTCTGAACCATATAGCAAGTCACCTTTCCTTTCTACATGCATCTGGTATTTGACAACTCTTGTCCCGCCGCCACTGAACCAAACCACATATTGGAACTCTCACCCAATATGGCAGAACAATGTCATTGGTTCCACGACCTCAAGAATGGCTTCCCCATTGGATCATGTAAACCAGAGTTCTGATGAGGTAAGTTCATCCATTGCATCCCATCATGCATCATCGAAGTAGTTGCTTCACGCCCACCCAAGTAATCAAGTGCATGAGCTGCTTGTGGTAAAACATTTCCAATCCTTGGAGTAACCCCACCCGGCATTCCATAGTTCCTAGGGGGAATGAACTGCTCAGTGGAGGCTACTGGATGATAAGGGCTACTTGAACGTAATTGGTTACAATGAGATAGAACACTGAATAAGCTCTGATCTGCATTAGTTCCACTCCCAATGCTCTGACTTGCGACACTAGTACCACCTGATGCAGACCATCCACCATGAACTTGATGCTCTCCAGAAAACCAGTTATGGCTCAACATTTCTCCCCCATCTAAGTGAGACTGGAGGGGTCCTGGCATACGAACACTATTGACAGCCCAATCCTGCGCATTGATTGGAGTCAGATGTTCCTGCCTTGAAATTAAGTATCTACCTCCATCAGAATAAATGTTATCAGGTAAGTTTTGCTGCATATAAACCTCACTCTCTCTCTTATGTGCCTGCTCCAGAGGCAGTGACTGGTGTTGCTGCTCCTCAAAATGCCCTCGAAACTGACCCGCTCCCGTAAACACATTGGTTGGTGGTCGGAAATCCAACCCAGTCTGTTTCTGCTCATGATCGTAGGGTAACATGCTCTGGCCCTTAAAGAGAGATTGAAGCAATTCATTTCGATCTTGGTTTGGGTAACTGAAGGAACCATTCTCTGATTGTCTGTGCAATAAATCTTTCCCAGTGTCTCCCACAGGCAAGTCAGACTCCAGAGCAACTAAGTGTGTTTGTTGCTCTTCATTAACTTGTGGATGCGCAAGTGATAACTCACTGGTAGATGAATATTCATGGCTTGCAGTAGAATCATAGTAAGAATGTGAATGTGGCATGCTAACTGGCTTCCAGACATCTCTACGAGCACATAATTGGGCTCCCTGACTTACCGTATCATTTGCAGTATTTAGATTCTCCACGTACTCCGATAAATTAGGAGGAGAATGACCTGATTCTGTAATGATATGCTTTTCTGAATCATTATCTGATTCAGTACTGGAATGTTCTTCTGAATCCATATCTGTGGGGTTGCACTCATCACCACTAGTAAGCTTCTGCAAAGACTTGTCATCATCTTCCATGTCCATGGGGTTGCACTCATCACCCTGTGGGGAGCCAGGTTCAGACATGTCATCATCTTCCAAGGGAGATTCATGGTCTTCTGCTCCAATATCTATCTCACCCTGAAGCAAGCTCTCATGGTTCTCATCACCTCCATCATCCTGAACATCCCATCACAAACCAGCACATTAGATATCATGCAACAATAAACACACAGGGTAATTAAGAAACGCATGGATGACCATCAGGTTGATAAAGATACATCCACTCAAACAGAAGAGAAGAGGGGTAGGGGGAGGACATAAGGGCAGAATCACAAACCTCCACCAGGGACTCCAGCCTCCTTTTCATGTCTTTCTCCAAAGACTTTGTCATTTGCCGCCTCTGTAGATGCATTTCTTTCCAATTTGCATAAGCTGCTGGGAGATCTTTATTTGCCAATTGCAACCTATATAAACCAGACTATATTTTAAGGAGGCAGACAATCAAATGTTTCTCCAGAGTCTTAAAATATATGTGTTTACTTCACACGACACTAACCAGTGCTGATGCAACTTTTTCTGCTCTTCTTCCACAAAGACTTCATATGGTTGTACATCAAAGCTATCAAGGTTACCTAAAACCCGGTTAAGAGACCTGGACTGAATGCTTTTGCCAGACTGCTTCATACTCTTAACAATTTCATACTGTTTCTTGCTAATCTGAAATAGTTAAAAGCGAACAATCAGCAAGAGCATCATAAAAATTAGAGTATTCTATATCATGACCCAAAGTAATAAGTATAGAGCAAAAGGATGTCTTTGTGTGTGTGTGTGTGTGTGCAGAAATAGAGAGAGAGTGAGAGAGAGAGAGAGAGAGAGAGAGAGAGAGAGAGGAAGTGTCTCGTAGCTGTACTGGGTTAAGGAAGTAAATATCTGCTAAGTTGTTGTCAGTTATGCAGAAATTCCCGTCCAAATAAACAACTTATAGTCAATGACTTCTAAAGAGAACAGTGTTCAAATCCTAACACCTGAATATTGTGCAAGAACTTTTTTCTAGTTGAGTTCACTTATTTGTCCACTTAACAGGGAAAATTTGACAATTCTATGTGCTTAGTAAGCCGCATGTGACAATCCTGTCGAGTCAGAGACTCAGAAGCCAGAAGGTGGGAGTCTGGACATCTAAGTTTTATACAGGATCGCTTAAATAAATCAACAAGGTCATTTATAACCTGGAAACTAGTGATGAATGATCCTAAAACTCTAGCCTAGAGAGAGGTGACTGATTAGGCTACCGAGGCATCATCCATCAAAAAAATTTACTTATTACCAAAGCAACACCAACCTTAACATATGACATGTATTTAGCACCGTCGCTACTGTAGAAATTACGCTTATGTAGCCTGTCTCCTGTTTTGGATCTCGCTGCTACATTAACTGCCCCATCTGCTGTAACCAATACATTTCTACCTTTGTCCTTTACGAAACCTTTCTCGTAGATCCTGACACAGTAGCAACTTATAAGATTCTGCATGCCAGTTCAAAGAAAGTAGATGACAGATACACTAGCAGAAATCATCATAGAAACTACAACCAGACATACAGAAAGTAGCCAAGTAGGTATCCAATTTAAGAAAACTAAAATGAACCTGGGGCACATAGATGCGCTGGTATGACTAAACATAGAAAGCTGTATTACCTGTTCTGAAGTTTACCCCCTTTGTCCACTGAGGAAATCTGGTTATCACTACTACAAGCTTTCTCATCTGCAACCCATGAACAAGATTCAGATGTAACTGTGGTATTTTCCTCAAGATCGCGGAATCTGGATTCATTTGCGTGTGAAGATATTTTTTTCTCCATATCATTTCTTGACCTGCATAATTTATAACACCCATAAGATAACGACCAATCAGTCTGAACAAATAACCGTTACAGAACAGGAAAAACACAATTCGAAGAAAACTTTCTCCTTATTACTATATGGTACTTGCTTGTGCATGTTACGAAGGGAATATTTTGGCATCTACTAAACTCAAAATAAGAAATTAAAACAAAACAGTGAGCATCAACCTCCATATTTTCTGCACAATTTCCTTTTCAGGATCCTTACAGCTTGCACATCTCTCCTTCAACTTCAGTAAATATGCAATCATACTACCAAAAAACCATAAAAACATTGTGACCATATAAATTAGCCCAAAAGCACCTTCCAAAAATGATATATATTAAACAAAAAATTGGGAAAGCTTCACATACTCATTATGATACTTCTGCAACTCCTTGTAGTAGGCTTTCTTATCAGTATTTAGACACTGTTCCCTGCGGAGAATGGCATCTGGGTGGAAATCACCTGAGCAAAGTGAAGCACCCCTGAAAGCATATATTTCAGATAAAATCATCAGCACTCTATGGATTTAACTTATCAACACTAAAGGAGCTATTTATCAAAATCTCATAAAACTACAAAAGAAGCTCTTTCCTTCATTCATGTTAGACGTCTAAAATTGAGCTATAGTACACCCACAACCCGTGTTAGCAAAGATAGTAACAAAAAGCAATTTGAAAAAGTTTCTTGTTTTAAATTCCATGATCTAACAGAATCTAACAGAATGGTACAACTATCAGACAGTTCTCAACCCCATGCATCCTATTTTCTTTAAAAAGTAAAATGAAATAATTAAAAAATTTGATTAATCTAAAAAAAGTAATACTCTGCAGTGCAACATTTATTTAATCTAAAAAAAAAAAGAGAAACAAAAAGGTTATACAAAACTACATACAAATCATCCACATCTTCTTGTTTTATATTTCATTACTTGAATTTGGCTGAAGCAGCCACTTTCGAAGTAACAGAAATAAATAATGGAGAAGAGAAGAGGAAAGGGGCTGCATGAAGAACATGTGTTTGTGTGCATGCGTAAAAAAAAAGTTAAGTCACTTTATTACATAAAAATACATGCCATTTAAGAAAAGGGTTTCCAAAGTCAAAGTAATCCCCAGAAAGCAATGCTTGCACAACTTGCTCTGCCTCTGGTCCTCTAGGAAGAAACTGCATCAGATGCTTTCTCTCATTCTCTGACAGATGAGTCTGCCAAACCTGCATCATTTTTTAAACAAAAAGCACATTACATGCATCTATCAGAGATAAAACATAATTTAGATACATATTTGTGGATAACGATAAATTTATAGCTACCTCATACGAAAGCACATCTTCCAAATCTTCCAAATCATAGATTCCCTCAGGAACGGCAAAAACATCTGCCAAAATATTGTGGCTATTGAAAGTAGGATCAATAAATGGCCTCAAATCTCTCCAGCTTATGCCAATTTGATCGCTTTTGGCAAACACCATTTTCTGATTTCCATCCCACTCAAGAGAAATATGAGAATTTATGTCTGAATCATCTTTAAGTAATCCCATATTTTTCTTTTTTGCTTTATGTTGCTCCCTAGAATTGCAGCCAATGATGCTAGCACCATTTAAGCGCTTTCTCCGTTGATCAGCGGCCATTGGCACAAGATGTCAAAAACAAAAAAGCTCCCTCAAAACATTACACCCTCATATATTACTAACACATGTCGTCCGTTTTTAATGCAACCTGAGAGAAAATATCAAGTATTTGCAAGTACATTATAATCCATAATTACAAAAGGCCTCATAACTTGACCCAAACTGTGAACAAAATCAATACAACTGGAGTCAGTCTATGAGTCTGAAAATGTGCACGTACTTTTCATGTAAATTGCAAAGCACTTAAGGGAGTAAGCTATGCTATCCAGATACAGTCAACGTCCAAACGCAATTTATTAATAGAAAATTTTACCAAAAATAATAGGGTTGCATGATTTACTTTAAGGATTTAATCCTCAGATACTACAATGCGACTCAAACACCCTCAAACTGTACCTATTATTTTTTATTTTTTATTTAAAAGAAACTTTCTAAATTCAAAAGAGATAAACAAAGAAACAAGCAAGTGGATAAGGAATCCACAAGAGAAAACAAACAATTAAACTAAGGACTGCACTGCACACGAAGAATTAAAGTAAGTAACAGCACGCATATGAAATAAACGTACCTAAAATCCATACAAATTAAAATAAAATAAAAAATTAAGAATATTACGACAGGAACTTATGAATGGAAGACACAATCCGCGAACACCCATACAAATTTGCTGACAATCAGAAACCCACTTAGGCATCAAATCATAAGTGAAAAACCAACCTCATATCAAAATTTCAAGAAAAGGGATAAATATCCCAGAAACGTATTCAAGCACCTTCTGTCGAAATAGAAAACCGGAACCCTAACAATGAAGGCATAGAGCAGGGTAAAGAAAAAGGCAATACCTGAAAAATCTGGTTACTTTGGTCTCAATAGAAAGCCACGAATTAGAGCTGCGAAGGTTTGCAGTAAATTCACAGTAAAAACCCCAAAGAAGATTGGGAATTTTGCGCTAAGAATACTCTATTTAATGCGGAGAGAGAGAGAGAGAGAGAGAGAGAGAGAGAGAGCGTTTCGTATTATCGGATTGGGTTGAGGAGTTGGGGGGAGAGATACACACGCCCACACAGCTTTAGCATATGGAGAGAGGAAGGGCAGAGAGATAGAGAAAGATCAGACGAGTGTGGTTTCGCGGAACCGTTAATTTCACATTGAATGGTTCATTCGCGCGCTTGGGCGCGGCTTGGCTCGAGACTCAGCTTGTCCGTTTGCTCCAAGGTTACGTCGATTCCTGATCCTGACCTGATTGTTGCATTGCAGCCAGCAAGGGTTAGAATGGAACAGTGACATTGTGGCGAGATAACGAGTAATAGCAGGAACGGTCAGACTTTCTATTTCGTGGCGCCTGGGTCCCACTTCTCTAGAAAATCCTTTTATTTTTATTTCCTAATATATCTTTTATAATTTTTGTTAATATTATAATTAAGTTAATTTTTTACTTTTTATAAGTAGTATGTAAGTGATTGCTTAACTAGAAACAAACTGAAGTTAATTTATAATATATGTGGCTCTCTACTCCAACACAACACAATCTACAAAAATAAGTGAATTAGTGTTTAATCTTCCATTTATAATTAAATAAGTCATATTAAAACGGACTATAATAACACATGAACATAAAATGCAATTACACATAAACAACTATCACCCCTTTTAGTGAGTAAGGGGGTAATCATATAATGCATTTTTTATTAACATATATAATACATTGTTATACATTACAGCCACCAACTCCTACCTTAAAAAATAATAATAATAATAATAATAATAATAATAATGCAACCTGAGAGAAAATATCAAGTATTTGCAAGTACATTATAATCCATAATTACAAAAGGCCTCATAACTTGACCCAAACTGTGAACAAAATCAATACAACTGGAGTCAGTCTATGAGTCTGAAAATGTGCACGTACTTTTCATGTAAATTGCAAAGCACTTAAGGGAGTAAGCTATGCTATCCAGATACAGTCAACGTCCAAACGCAATTTATTAATAGAAAATTTTACCAAAAATAATAGGGTTGCATGATTTACTTTAAGGATTTAATCCTCAGATACTACAATGCGACTCAAACACCCTCAAACTGTACCTATTATTTTTTATTTTTTATTTAAAAGAAACTTTCTAAATTCAAAAGAGATAAACAAAGAAACAAGCAAGTGGATAAGGAATCCACAAGAGAAAACAAACAATTAAACTAAGGACTGCACTGCACACGAAGAATTAAAGTAAGTAACAGCACGCATATGAAATAAACGTACCTAAAATCCATACAAATTAAAATAAAATAAAAAATTAAGAATATTACGACAGGAACTTATGAATGGAAGACACAATCCGCGAACACCCATACAAATTTGCTGACAATCAGAAACCCACTTAGGCATCAAATCATAAGTGAAAAACCAACCTCATATCAAAATTTCAAGAAAAGGGATAAATATCCCAGAAACGTATTCAAGCACCTTCTGTCGAAATAGAAAACCGGAACCCTAACAATGAAGGCATAGAGCAGGGTAAAGAAAAAGGCAATACCTGAAAAATCTGGTTACTTTGGTCTCAATAGAAAGCCACGAATTAGAGCTGCGAAGGTTTGCAGTAAATTCACAGTAAAAACCCCAAAGAAGATTGGGAATTTTGCGCTAAGAATACTCTATTTAATGCGGAGAGAGAGAGAGAGAGAGAGAGAGAGAGAGAGAGAGCGTTTCGTATTATCGGATTGGGTTGAGGAGTTGGGGGGAGAGATACACACGCCCACACAGCTTTAGCATATGGAGAGAGGAAGGGCAGAGAGATAGAGAAAGATCAGACGAGTGTGGTTTCGCGGAACCGTTAATTTCACATTGAATGGTTCATTCGCGCGCTTGGGCGCGGCTTGGCTCGAGACTCAGCTTGTCCGTTTGCTCCAAGGTTACGTCGATTCCTGATCCTGACCTGATTGTTGCATTGCAGCCAGCAAGGGTTAGAATGGAACAGTGACATTGTGGCGAGATAACGAGTAATAGCAGGAACGGTCAGACTTTCTATTTCGTGGCGCCTGGGTCCCACTTCTCTAGAAAATCCTTTTATTTTTATTTCCTAATATATCTTTTATAATTTTTGTTAATATTATAATTAAGTTAATTTTTTACTTTTTATAAGTAGTATGTAAGTGATTGCTTAACTAGAAACAAACTGAAGTTAATTTATAATATATGTGGCTCTCTACTCCAACACAACACAATCTACAAAAATAAGTGAATTAGTGTTTAATCTTCCATTTATAATTAAATAAGTCATATTAAAACGGACTATAATAACACATGAACATAAAATGCAATTACACATAAACAACTATCACCCCTTTTAGTGAGTAAGGGGGTAATCATATAATGCATTTTTTATTAACATATATAATACATTGTTATACATTACAGCCACCAACTCCTACCTTAAAAAATAATAATAATAATAATAATAATAATAATAATTAGTTACAAACAATCAACAAGTATGCTTAATCAAATTCACCAAATACACTAAAAAATTAGTTCAATACGTCTAATGAAATACTCTGTATTTTTTCTCTCATTCTTCATATGGATGCAATTATTATATATTATCGTGAGTCAACTCTCCTAGTATGGTTAGGAGATATTTGTAGTAATTATTGTACAATCAGGATTTCTGTCATTATTAGGATTCCAAAACCCTAGTATTTGTTTTATCGTTATATAATTAATAACTCTAAGTTATACATATTAACAATTCATCCCCTAATGGCTTAGATTAACAATTTAACCCCTTTAACATTATATTATGAAGAGGCATAATAGTAAAGCTAAGGAAATAAATGAGTATGAATACGTTAGATAAGTATGTGTTAGAAACTTTGGATCTTAAGTAAATGTGTGAAGTAACTCGTGTTGGTGTGAGTTGTAAATATTATTAAGAGATTTTTTTTTTAGACATATTTGAGTAAATTATAAATTAATTACTTCTCTTGTAACCAACCCAATGTGACTTCATAACATTTTCAATTATTCCGTTAAAATATAAATAGCATGGATTATGCAAATGACTAGAGTGACCCTCCGATTATATATAGTCATTACCAAATTTAAATTTAAATTCCACACCTAAACGAATTATTAGCAAGTTAGTTCACCTTTTTTTTATTTATCAAACTTTGCAAATAAAATTGGGAAATTTTTTTGTTGCCTCATCCAAAAAAGTAAAAAGGATTTTTATATTTATGCACCAAAAATGAAAGAAACGTACATTTTTTTAATCAGAAAACGAACAAATTAACAATGATTCGGATTTTGATGCTTTTTGGGGTTCGGCTTGGCTGCCGACAGTGAGAGCGAGCCGTTCGAGTTGCCGTCAAAACACAACTAGGAACTTGACGGCAAGGTTTGGAATTGGTGGTCTTTGGTTGGACCCCGTGGACTTTTGGCCCTCAAGTAAACGTTTTATATATGTATGTTAACTCTTCCTCTCTTTTTTTGAGAGACATGGACCCCATTTAATGGTTAAAAAATAAAATGATATGTACGATATATTAATATCATTATTCTATGTATCATATTCGTAAGCAATTGGATTTCACAACTTCCTTTTCTTTTTTTTCTTTTTTTGGGGTCAATTTCTTTTATTATTCTATGTATCATATAATGCTTCTTGTATTTAATATCTTCTCATGTTACCCTTATATTGATAATTCTGGTGTCGAAAAATATGCACTGGGACTGTAAAATTTGAGTCACTAATCACAAACTTAAGAAATTTATCTTTTATTCTTGATGGTGGGAAGGGAATTTGGATTTTTTAAGGTACATTACTATGTGTTAAAGAAGAGTGTGGTTGATTGAAGATTTGAGTGAACAAATTCCATGAATGTCAAGGGAACAGGGATTATGTGATGATAAGTACAGGGAAATACCCTTCCTAAGCAGAGGATCAAGAAAGAGACTATAGAAACAAATTATAGTTTTGCTGTGATTAAGATCTAATCCTAGCATCTGATCTGATATAATAATGCAGGTTGATCATTCTTTACAACCCTTGACATCACAGCAGCAGAGGATTTGGAGCTTTTTCAGGGTGTTTGTTGTTGAATGGCATTGCACGAGATGAGATGAGCAACCTATGTTAGGTCTTGCTAATAATAATATAACCTTCGTTTCCTTGCCCTTGTAAACCTAAACTTGGTCCTCAAGCTTTGAATTGTTTGATCAAGTAGCAAGCAATTGGTTAATCTAGCTTATCACTTAGCAAAGACATAAGAAAAGACAATTAAAAAAAGAAACGAAAAGAATTATTTGGAAAAGGATTAAAGAAGTGAAATGGTACTAGTAGACTAGTAGTAATGAAGATAGAGAATTCCAGAACAAGTAAATAGAACACAAGAAAGAAAGAAAGGAAGGAGCTTATCCTGATGGGTCAAAACTGAATCCAGGGTCATTCATGTAAATTGTAATGTAAAGGTGGGGAGGACTGGGACTGGGAGCGTAAGTCTGGGCGGGGGGGAAACAGCAGCTTGAGACGGAAAGCATCAACCCCGTTCAGGTAGTACCGGAAAAGCCTTTTTGCCCTGATAAATCCAAGGCGCCCATACAACGCCAGTGCTCCTTTATTTGTCACTTCTGCTTCTAGTGTTACCTGAATCACATTCATTCATTCGTTCGTTCGTTAAATTCTAGCGGAAAAACCCTAAGCCCCAATTTCTCAAGAACAGATTATGAAATTAATTACACAAAAAAAAGAAAAGAACAGGCAGACCACGACGTACCTCTTCACAGCCTGATTCCATCATGACTTGAATAGATCTGGTAACTAGTTGGGTAGCAATGCCTTTTCCTCTGTAGGGCTTGATGACAACGAGCATGGCGATGTAGCCTCTGTATGTGTTGCGATGCTCCCCCATCTTGCACACCACCGTCCCCACGCATTTGCCTCTGTGGAATGCCAGAAAACACAGCTGCGGCCACAGATACACGAAGTACCTGTACGTGAAGATGGAGTATGGTTCGCTCAGTTCTTGGTCCACCAGCCCCATTATCAGCGGCAGATGATCTTCTCCTTCGTAGCTCACATACTCTATCTCCG